GGGAATCTAAACAATAGAAGGCCGTCAGCCAGAGTAGAGACAATAACCCCACTCGAGATTTTCCACTTCTTCGCTGCCCACTTCTCAATCCTCTGTAAGGAACCCACATCTCTGTCAAACCTCCCCCAACAAGGCAAGATTTCAGCGTTGTTTCACATACATTTGTGTCATGGTTGTCCACCTTGAAAACCTGACCTCTGATTGTAGACACCCACTTCACCCTTCAGAGAAAGGCAGGGAAGACTCGTCACTTCAAGAAATAACCGATTCAGACCTTCGAGGGGCCTCATGGAAAACGAACAAGCAAGAAGATAGAAAAAAAGAGTGAACATTTCATATATCATTATTCACGGTGCCTATGTCTTAATTTTTTAGGATTAGCTGTGTCACCATATCCGTAATCATGTTTCTTAGAGTCAACCCTATATTGATATTATATGTAATGAAATATTTTAAAACTTAAAAACCTTATCCAAAGTATTGGAAGGATTTGTCCCTTTTAATTTATTCTTTTATTGCATAAAACACCACTAGCCTGTCACCATTTTCTCCAACCCGATTCAATTCCAATAAGTATGTCATCATCCACTCTCCGCCCTTTTGTATTAGTGCCGCCCTTTTGTATTAGTGGATATTTCAATTGTAATTCTAGGAATGTGAGCTTTAATTTGTATATCTATCTTTGAAGAGATATCTATTGTGCTACATTCTTCCTACAAATCTATTGAAGGGTTGGTGTGACCCAAAAGGAAGCCTAAGAGAAGGTAGTTCTCTTAGCAAGAAGGAAGGAGAAGCTAGTTAGCTTACTGTAAAGGTTGCTCTTCACCCGCAAGCAAGAGCATGTAAAGGTTTGCTTTCCAACTGCAAGGAAAGCCTCATAGTGGAATCCTTGAGAGGTTTTCTCAAGGCATGGACGTAGGCCCAAGGTGGTGCCGAACAATGTATATCGTGGTGTTGTTTGGTTGGCATTTCTCAAACCCTTAACTCTCTTTAACTTGCTAGCGCTTTCCATCTTGAAGCAATTAAATATTTAATTGATTCTTCACTAGCCAAATTTTATTGCATACCAAGTGTTTGATAAAATGTCTATTCAACATAATCTTCACTTTGTTGCATTTATATTTTACAGTTAATTGTACATTTACATTAGTTGAATCTAATTGATCATTAAGTGTTTAGTTGAGTTATTTCTTTTTTCTTTTTCTTTTTTGATAAGTAAAAATATATTAGAGCGCGTTCAAAAGAGGAACGCATCCTGAGAGCTATACAAGGACCCCAAAAAATAAACGATTTCCTCTATAGATATATAATTTTTCCCCATCACCCAACTAAAAAGAGAACTAATAACAACATATTTCAATGCCCCAATGGAAGATTCCTCCACTTCAAAAGATCTTATATCTGCTCCCTTCCAAATGCACCACCAAACACAACGAGTGGTCGCCCTCCAAAGGTCAGAAGCGTGGGCCCCAACACTACATCCTCTCCATGCATCAACAACTCCCTCGCAGACCGACGCCGAAACACTAAGGGCATGTTTGGTGTGGTGGAATGAATTGGAATGGAATGAGAATAGAGGTGGGAATGGAATGAGAATGGAAATAATGATTCTCATTCTACCATTTGGTTGCAAACATGGAATGTGTAAAAATGGAATCTCATTCTTATTCCTATGTTTGGTAAGAAAGTTGGAATATAATGAATTTATATTGTTTCTTTAAATTACATTTTATTATTAGTAAAAAAAAATTAACTAAAAAAATTAATCTGCAAAAATAAAAGGGAAAGAGATAATAGAGAGAGAAAAATAGACGAGATAGAGAGAGAGAATAGACGAGATAAAAGAAACAGAGGGCTCTCCGACGACTGTAAAAATAAAAGGAAAAGAGATAATTTTTCGATCATCTTTTCTGGCGAGAAAAAAGAAACAGATGGCTAAATAATGACTGGGAAAGTTGCATAACAAAGCATAAAAGCTCATAGAAGTTCAATTACACTATTTTTGTCTCATCCTTGTGTGTGTAAATCAGAGAGAGGTAACAAACCGCATATAGATACATATTATATATATATATATATATATATATATATATATATATATTATATTTTATATGGTGTGTGTATGCGTGAATTATTTCTTTAATTTACTTTATTACTTTATTAATTCTTGATGGAAATGGAATGGTCATTCCACCTCTTAAGAAGAGGAATGGGCATTCCACTTTTTTGATGGAATGGGCATTCCCTAGGAATGGTCATTCCACTTTTAATGTGACGCACCAAACAAGAGAATGGAAACAAATGCATTCCATTCCACCTTCATTTGATTCCATTCACTTACACCAAACATAGCCTAAATGCTTTACAAATGGAATTGTAGCTTCTCTCAAACCTCACAAGCCTACCTCACTTGGGATATTCTTTGGTAGCTTAAGGTCTCCTACATCTCTATCGCATATTCTTGAGATCTTTGTTAAATTGAGCTCATCATTATACATTCCTCATGATGAGAGAGTTTTACATTTAACCCACTAAAAAAGACATTCATCACAATGATTATTTTTGCTATAGAGGAAAGAAAGTTTTTTTTTTTTTTTTTTTGATAAGTAAAAATATATTAGAAAAATGTTCAAAAGGGGAACGCGTCCCTAATACAAGAAGAAAAAAGGTCTAAGGACCAATAGAATCCAAGAGATCAAAGAAATCATCAGTCGAGGAGCATGCATTTCCTCTTACATAACAGAACAAAGAACGAAGAATATGAATTTTTAAATTAGCTAAAGACGATTCTTTTCCTTCAAAGGATCTGTTATTCCTCTCACACCACAAACACCACCAGACACAATGTGGAACAGTCTTCCAATAATCATTAGCTTGTTCTGTAGTTAGGCATTACCCAAAAAACCCCAAACATGCAAAAAATAAAACTCCAACAATCATACGCCACAGGACAATGCAAAAGAATGTGATCTATGGATTCACTATCAGCTTTACATAAACAACACCAATTAACAATAATGTTGCCTCTCTTTCTCAAATTGTCTAATGTCAAAATCTTTCCCAAAGTGGCAATCCAAACAAAGAATGCAATTCAAAGAGGAGCTTTAGAACGCCAAACAAACTTCCAAGGAAACTCAGGACCAACGATATTGGACAAACAGAAGAACATAGATCGGACGCCATACCGACCATGAGCTAAAGGAACCCACAAAATATCATCACACCCTCTACCAATATCCTTCTGCCTATACAATGTATTCAAAAAAACACAAGCTTCCTCCATTTCCCAATCCTAAAAAGGCCACCTAAACCGCACATCCCACGTAACTCCATTGTTATCAAGTTGATAACAATCAATCACGTAGACATGCTTACTGGCTGCAATACTGTATAGTCTAGGAAAAGAGTGAGACAGCAACTGATCGCCGCACCAAAGATCCTCCCAAAAACGAACATGCCTGCCATCACGAACTTTGAATCTAATATGTGTGAAGAAAACATCCCAGCCCTTCCGAACAAATTTCCACACACCAACGCCTCCCGTAATAGTGACTGGAAGATATGACCAGCCCCCACTCTCCTCACCAAAACGACACGAGACAACTCTTTTCCACTGACGATGACGTTCCCTTCCAAATCTCCATAACCACTTTCCCAAGAGAGCACGATTAAAAGGAACGATTTTTCGAATGCCTAACCCGCCTAACCTTAACGGTTGGCAGACTTGATCCCAATTAACAAGATGATACTTAAACTCCTCTCCCCTTCCACCCCAGAGAAAATCCCTCTGAATTTTTTCAATCCTTTCAGCAACAGAGCATGGAATTTGAAAAAAAGATATATATAAAAAAAGGTATAAAGGGATGAGAGAATACTCTTAATGAGTGTGACCACCCCCACCCCCCCTCTTCTTAGATAGGTACTGCTTTTTCCATCCTGCTAATCTTTTCTCATATCTATTAATCACTGGATCCTAATTCCCAACTCGTGTAGAAGAAACTCCCAAAGGCAATCCTAAGTAAGGAAGAGGAAAAGTACCAACTCCACACCCTAGAACAGCAGCTAAGGAGGAAATATCTGGAACATCCCCCACTGGGATAGGCACACTCTTTCCGACATTAATCTTTAACCCATAAACCGCTTGGAAGCAAGCAAGAATGCACCTTAGATATCTGAGTTGAGAAACTTCAGCATCACAAAATACCAACGTATCATCCGCAAACAACAAATGGGAAATTTGCATCTGATGTTCAACATCTCTACCAACTCTGAACCCCCTGATGTAACCCAAAGGGATATAGCTTGTACTCTCTACATTGTACTCGTTGAAAAGGGGTTCTCATGTGACTTGAAAGTACAAAAGAATAGAGAGACAAGTATGAGAATTTTTTGGAAGCTAAACCAAAAAAGTTTCACAGTTTGACCCCACCCCCCCCCCCCCCCCCCCCCCCCCCTCCCCCCCTCTTCTTCCTTAGGGTCATTACTTGGGTAAAAAGTTATATTTTTTGTTGAGTTCATGGGAGAAATTGTAAATCCATGGGAAGATAGTTGATTTTTTGGATATATTGAGAGTTTAGGGGCCCTATTTAGTCCTTGTGTAGCTTTTTCATGATGCGTTCCCATTTTGAACGCTTTCTATTAAGCCTTACTTATAAATTTATATATGTGTGTGTGTGGTATAACTATCTTAGTTTTCAAGGTTGCAAGGGTGTCTACTTTTAGCTGTTCTCTATGCCTAGGGATGTCTAAAGGATCATAAATTGTGCATTCTCCAATAATAAAGTGAAATATGCACACAGAATACAGTTGTTGGCAATAAACAAGACATTAACTATTCAGCCAAAGAATATAATCACTAAATATATAAATTTTATCAATCAAGTGATTTTAAAGCCAGAATGGAAGTGGAACTGAAGCAAGTTCTTAGTCAAAAATTTCAACTAGCTTATGGTCAAATACTAGCACAAAACAAGACTATGGATAAGAGCTAGTGAGCTTACATGTCAAAATTTTGAAAAAGAATTCGCAAAGTCCGTGCCTCCACACAAAAACCCTGTCAAATTGCATGGCTCCTAATTATTCTATAGAGGACTCATAGAAAACCACCTATAAGATAAATAAATGATATATATATATATATATATATATATATATAACTACACGTGTGACATAAAAAATTTATGAACTCCAGACTGGACTAACCCGCAAGATTTCAAGAACAAGAATGCGATGCCATAATGGCAAATCAAGAGATATAACCTTCACTAACATGCTGAGGAAAACCTGCATTCAAAAACATACATATTTCCTATTTGAGTTAGCAATCATTAACTCAGGCACATAGAAGCAACTATGGAAACATGGAAAGAATGCATAAAAAAAAAATTCAATCATAACTTCCTAAAACTCAGCAGAACACAGATCAAGATCAGAAAGTATGCAATAGAGCTTATTATTTAAGATAAAAGTACCACAGCAATAACAATGTATAGATCCAAACGTAGCTGCTAACCATGATGCACCAGAAAAGGCATCTAGCCACTTGATACACTTGGATTTAGATGTGAAGTCATAAAATAGGTTAAGTCAACAAAGAAAGGTCACCCATATGCCTTTCATCAAGCCATAGTGAAGATTTTAATCCATGCAAGGAAAACTCAAGGCTGCTTTTCACCTTCATGTTTATGCCCTCCGTCAAGCCATTATAAGGATCTTAATCCCATCCAAGGAAAACTCAATTTTGCATTTCACCTTTACGAGTAGATTTAATTTCTCGAAGGAAAGGGCTGTGAACCTTTAAGGTAAGAGATAATATATATATATATATATATATATTATAGATGGTTGCGATCTTAAGTCATACAACAAAAGCTCATTTTAAGACTAACATGGAAAAATCTGCACATAAAATACAAATTCGACTAGCAACCACATCCTTGAATTATCCCAGGATGATCAATATAAAAGTCTAAGATCATAGTTTATTACATACAAAACAACATATTAGATTAGCAAAAGCAAGGAGAAGTATACAAGAAAGAAAGGCCGTCTGGGGAGCAGGTGGTGGCGGTGGCTGAGGCTTTGAGAAGTTGTGATGGGGATAAAGCTCCAGGATCGGATGGCTTCGCGATGGCTTTCTTCCAACAGAATTGGGAGGTTGTCAAGACAGAGGTGATGGAAGCCTTCAGTCTTTGTCAATGCTTAGAATTTGTTCTTTTAAGCGAAGAAGAATCTATCTTTGAAAATAAATTTCATGCGTGCCTTATTGCTAAATCTTGAGAAGGCAGTAGATTGATTTCAAGATTGCTACTCTAAATTTGGGAATTAATAAATGAATACTTAGAAGGTTATGGATGTAATGGTTGTGGAATCTGATGCCTTAGGTATTTGTTTTATTGATTGAATCTCATTTTCTTTGCATGCTTAGTTTAATTTCTCAAATCAACAAACTTGTTCAACTAGGTTAGATTGAAATTAATATGGTTTTCCAAATTTTTCTAAGCAATACCTGTGGATACAACCTCGTCGCTACATTTCTGTACTCCAACAGATTCATAAATACTTGCGTGTGATTTAAAAAGTAACAACAATATCCAGAGTGTAGTGTCACAAAATGAGAAAAGAGGAACAATTATAAGCAGATCATACCTCACTTTCAGTGATAAGAGATGAACTGTAATGCCTTATGATGTGGGACACTGAGCGCAAGACCAAGCGACGAAAATAAGGCTCTCCTACTTCTCCTTCAAGCTGATTAAAGATAAAATTTGACATTAGAAGAAATATTACTAGTAAAATTCCTAAAAGATAGTAGATTAAAACTCTGACAAAAAAGAAAGATTCATATAACTATGTTTTCCAACGGGTAGTCACCTCGGCATTGGTACGAAGTGAAGTCATGAGAAGTGAACATATCTGGTGACGCAAAACCTGTTGAATTTCAATGCTAACTTTTAAACTGTAGAAGTTTACTACATACTCAAGCAAAGTAACAAACAAGCATATATTCAAGTCAATATGTTACTATTATCACCTGTTCATATGAAACTAAAGTTCTGAACACCACCACATAATTAGATAGAATGAACCTGCAGAACCACAAAGCAGTAACAAAAAGTTACACCAAGTCTCGAAAGAAACTATGTTTCGGTTGAATATCATAAACTCCTTATTCCATACACTCTTACTAACAATTTGATTTCTTGTAATAGCAGTAAAATAAGCATTCTAGACACCCTTTCATACTCTGTGTGTGTGTGTGTGTGTGTTTATAAGTAGTATTGCATTAGAAGGCATTCAAACAATTTGTTTTCTTGTAATAGCAGTAAAATATGCATTCTAGACACCCTTTCATACTGTAAGTGTGTTTTTTTCTTTTTAAACGGGGAAAGCATCCCAGGGAAGCTACACATACTGTAAGTGTGTTTTAAGGACAAAATTCATTGCATGCCTAATTTAAGTCCTAAAGCATAACTCAACCAAAGCTTTTGGACAAACAGTACAGTATCCAAGTGTGTGTTTTAGTGTACTAAAAATGGGAATGTGTTCCCCATAGAAGATATGGCATCAACGAAGTGATTTAAGGTATAAATACAAATATCTATAAGATTAATACTCTCCGTGTCCCATAATACATGTCCTGCATGGGGAATCCAAGTTTTTATGGTAGTGGAGTTTTAATAGTTTTTTATTGTATTGATAAGAGTGAAGTTTCAAGTATGCCCTTACTAAAAGACAAAATAGTGCTCCGTAATTAGTGCAGTTGTTTAGTTAAAAGGATAGTTTGGGAATGTTATAAAAAATAGTATATTCAATTTTGGAATAGGACATGTTTTTTGGGACATCCCAAAATGGAAAGATGGACAAGTATTTTGGGACGGAGGGAGTATGCTTTTGAATGGCATAATTAGAAGAACCTAACAATAATTTCACCAGAAGTAAATAACAATATAAAAATCAAAAATAAAATTAGGAGCATACTCGATTTCTTTAGCTATGAACAAACCAAACACAAGAAAAAGATGAAACAAGGAAAGAAACCCACTTAACATTTCCAGTCTTTTCTATATGCCCATAGAAACAAGAAAAATACTGAAAATTCCAGAGCAAAACACTCACATCTAGTTCCAAAAATCAGATAAAGAAAATGAAACAAGGAGACCCACTGAAACAAGCAACATAGACTCATAAAAATAGAGACTTTATTATCTGCTTTAGTTTGATGATTGGAAGCCCTAGGAACTCAGACTCTTCTGAAACATTCCAGATGTTCTGCAGTTTTCTAACTAGAATACTCCTTTAATACACTCCTGAGCAAACACCTAGACGCCAAAAATACCTAAAATTGAACATGATACAATCCCGAAGGTAAAGTGCGACATTAAGAAATAAGATAGTACCAAATCTGGTTATCTGCCTTACACAAATCTATCGAGCACGCTCAGATGTAATCCATAAGAGGTTCAAGAAAGAGAAAATTAAAAAGAAGTAAATCCAGAAGAGGACTTCAAAGAGAGGGTTTGCAATTGGTTAGCTGGCTATGAGATTAGGGGTAGCCCGAGTTTCCAATTGGCAACCAAACTAAGGTTGTAGAAGGGAGACATCAGGACTTGGAACAAGGAAGTCTTTGGCAACCTAGAATGGCACAAGAACAGAATTCTCCTTGAAATGTCAGAGCTGGACAGGAAGAAGAGGGAAGGGTGCACAGTGGCATGGAGGTGAGTGGGAGGGAGGAATGCAAGGCTGAGTTTGGAGAGATTGCGGTGATGAAGGAGATCTCGTGGAGACAGAAGTCTAGAGCGCTTCGGTTGAAGGAAGGAGACCGAAACACGAAATTCTTTCACCGATTGGCATACACCCACAGACAAGGAAATCATATTGGCAGGATTTGCATTGATGGGAGTCTGTTGACCAGGGAAGAGGATGTTCAGACAGGGATTGTGTCATATTACCAACAGTTGTTTACGGAGACCGCTAGTTAGTAACCATTGCTTGATGGGCATCATGGGCTTTAGTTTGCGGGAATCTCAGTCGAGAATAGGGATTGGTTAGATATGCCTTTCGGGAAGGACGAGGTGCTTGAGGGTCTGAGGAGTTGTGATAGCAACAAAGCTCCAAGACCAGATGGCTTCACAATGGCTTTCTTCCAGCATAAATGGGGTCAAGGCAGAGGTGATGGGAGCACTGAGTTCCTTTCATTTAGATGGCCAGTTTTACAAGATTTTCGCTAAAGTCTTGGCCGTTCAATTGAGGAGATTCATGGATGAGGTGATCTCAGATTCCCAGAATGCTTTTTCTGGAGGGCATCAGATTCTAAATTCGGTGTTGGTTGTCAGCGAGTGTGTAATGGCTCCATAGCAAAGTTCTTCGCTAGCTCTCGTGGGTTACGCCAGGGAGATCCTATTTCCCCCTTTCTGTTTATCATTGTCATGGAGGCTTTCAGCAGATTGGTGAGGAGGCCGGACGAGTAGGGCTTTATTCGAGGATGACCAACTGAGGTTCTTGAGATGTGTTATGGCTTGCTTCCAAAACATTTCAGGGCTGAAGATTAACATCGGGAAAAGTGAGATGGTTCCAGTTGGTGCAGTAAAGGAGATTCATAACTTAGCAAATATTTGCAATTGCCTTTCGGAGCCTCGTCGAGGAGGACATCAGTTTGGGATCCCAAGGTTGAGCACTTTGAGAGGAGGCTTGCCAATTGGAACAAGCAATACCTATCAAAAGGGGGGCGGCCAACCCTCATGAAGAGTACCCTTTGGAATCTGCCAGCTTACTTCATGTCTTTATTTCCAATGCCTGTGTTTGTTGTTCGGAGATTAGAAAAAATTCAGAGGAAGTTTTTGTGAGGTGGTATGGAAGATGAGTTCAAATACCACTTGGTAAATTAGGGGACAGTGCGCTCCCTATTTCAAAAAGGGGGCTTGAGGATTAAGAGGTTGGACTTGTTCAACGAGACTTTCTTGGTCAAATGGCTTTGGAGGTTTGGGAGAGAGAGATCCAGATTTTTTTTTTTTTTTTTTTTTTTTTTGATAAATAAGAGAGGTCCAGATTATGGAGGAGGGTCATTGCTTGCGAGTGTGGGGAGAGTGATGGAGGCTGGTTGTATAGGGAGGTGAGATCTCCAATGGGTGTGGGAGTTCGGAAGCAAATCAGGAAGGGGCAGAGTTAGAAACGGGAGGCATGTCAGATTTTGGGAGGATCACTGGTGCGGGGACATTGCTTTGGCTTGTAGGCCTCGGCTTTTCTGGATTGCTACGGATAGAAATGCCCTGGTTGCCGACTATTATCCACTCGATAGCGGGAGGATGACTTTGGACATGCAGATTCAGAGTGTTCCATGACTGGAGGGGGAGTGATCGATGAGATAGTTTGGGTGGACTCCCACAGAGGGGCCTTTGAGATTAGGTTTTTCTACCAGAGCCTTTTGGTGATCCCAGGTCCCACCTTCCCTTGGAATGCTATTTGGAGATCGAAAGCCCCTTTAAAGGTGGCTGTCTTTGCTTGGTCAGCTGCCCTCGGAAGCATCCTCTGTATTAACCCTAAATTTAATTGGGTAAATGTGTTTCTTTGTATAGAACATTATGGTAATATTATTAGTTGGATTAGTCTTGTGAGGCTCGGTGGGCGAGAGCAGGCCTGTAAGAGGCAAGGCTTTGGTGCGAGCTACGTGTGCTCACAATACCCACATCGCCTGGGTGTGGATGAGAAGTTCCATATGTAGGTTCATCACCCTTCTATCACACAACGCGTTTTAAAAGCAGTGAACCTAACAGAACTCCAAAGTTAAGCGTGCTTAACCTGGAGTAGTACCAAATGAGTGACCTCCTCGGAAGTGTCTGGTCTGGAGGAGCCAAAAGCGGACAATATTGTGTCGGATAAGGTGAGGGTCATTACAAATGGTATCAGAGCTTGACCGAGTCGGAAAAGTGTCAATGGGGACGTCGGGCTCCCAAGCGGGGTGTAATTGTGAGGCTCGGTGGGCGGGAGCAGACCTGTAAGAGGCAAGGCTCTGGTGCGAGCTACGTGTGCTTACAATTCCCACATCGCCTGGGTGTGGAAGAGTGAAGTGCTATATGTAGGTTCATCACTTTTTTGTGACAACGCGTTTTAAAGCCGTGATGCCCGTGAACCTATCAGAAATCCGAAATTAAGCGTGCTTAACCTGGAGTGGTACTAGGATGGGTGACCTCCTGGGAAGTCTGGTCCAGGGGAGCCAAAAGCAGACAATATTGTGTCGGAAAGGATGAGGGTCGTTACAAGTCTACTATCCCTTGTTGGGATAATGCAACTTTTATTTTTTATTTTTTTGATAAGTAATAATTGAATAAAAAGGCGTTCAAAAGGGGAACGTGTCCCTTATACAAAAGTGGAACCGGAATCTAAGGCCCCAAATAATTAAATCATCGGAGGAGGAGCAAGAACTCCTCTTCACATAACTAAAAAGAGAATGAATAATATGAAGTTTCAGCGTCGCCGTGGACGACTCCATCCCTTCAAACATTTTGTTATTCCTCTCCTTCCAAATACACCACCACACACAATATGGAACAATCCTCCGGTAATCGTGTACACCACTTCTCACGCAACATCCTCTCCATGCATGAATCAAATCCTTAGAAGATCGGGGCATTACCCAAAGCATGCCAAACAAACCGAGTATAAGATTCCAGCAGTTGTACGCCACAGGGCAGTGCAAAAGGATATGATCAACTAACTCACCATCTTGTTTGCACATGCAACACCAATTAACGATATAATTACCTCTCTTCCTCAAATTGTCAACGTCAGGATCTTACCCCATACAGCAGTCCATACAAAGAATGCCACTCTAGTTGGAGCCATAGAACGCCATATGGTCTTCCATGGAAAATCAAGCCTATCAAAATAAGATAGGCATAGAAACAAGGATCGTACTTCAAAACGACCATGGGAAGAGGGGATCCACGCAATATCATCACTACCTCTGCCAACTGCCTCCTGCCGATACAACAGATCCAAAGGAACACATACCTCATCCATCTCCCAATCCTAAAAAGATCGTTGAAAGTGCACGTCCCACGTAATCCCACTACTATCAAGCTGATAACAGTCAACTACGCAAGCATGTCTATCAACTGCAATACTGTATAATCTAGAAAATGAACAAGATAATGGCTGGTCACCACACCAGAGATCCTCCCAAAATCGAACACATCTGTCATCATGAACTTTGAATCTGATGTGGGAAGATAAGACATCACAACCCTTCCGAATGGATTTCCACACACCAACTCCTCCCACTATAGAAACCAAACGAGTAGACCAGCCGCCACTCTCTTCCCAAAACGACATGAAACTAGCCTTCGCCAAGGGTGATGCCTTTCCCTCCCAAATCTCCATAACCACTTACTCAAAAGAACTTGATTAAAGGGAACCAACCCCCTGATACCTAGACACCCAGCTTCATGGGCTTGCAAACTTACTCCCATTTGACAAGGTGATACTTAAACCCTTCGCCCCTACCGCCCCAAAGGAAATCCCATACTAAATATGTATCCAAACAAGTGGATAGGACAAGTATATAAGTGAAACATTGCAATTAGGGTTTTACCTTATCCTTTACCGTTGTAGATAAAGAAAGAAGTTCAGAAGAAAGAAGGACTTGGAGGAGACCAACACTAAACCAAGAAGGATTTCTCAACTAGAATTTTGTAAGTGGTATTCTATCTTCTCCAGTTCTCCCCAATGATTGTTATATTTTGGTATATTAGTTAGCATTTAAATTTAATTTGGGCAATCAGCTTTTGAGTACAACAGTCTATATATTTGGTTTATATGTGTATGATTAATTATATTGTTGGCCGAGAGATGCAATGTTGTACTTGATCAAGGTGAATGATTAATGTGAATATTAATGTAACCTGCAGTAGATTCCACAGGTACTATCAGGTAGCTATAGTAGGTGTATGGGTATGTATGCGTATACATAAGTATTTGATTTATATACAAACAGAACTACAACTCCAATGGACCATGAGAAATCATAGGAGGTGTAGAGCAATTAACACTTAACTGTTTGAATAAGTGATTTAATTATTCAGGTTATGCTATTGTGATTGAATTGGTAATTTGATGCATGTGGAGGTGGATTTGAAGAAGGTATGGGTTGACTTTATGGAACCCTTGAAAACTCATGTTTAGGAACGACCAAACAGAGCACCTTTTTTAATGACTCTTGTTCAAAAATGTAGTTTGAATAGTGGAGAGTTGATAGGCATACATATTAGGTGGATTTGATGGCAGTTGGTGACCGAATTAAGCACCTGAAATCAGTAGTCACGAAAGGGGTTGAAGCTGGTGAGTTTGGGGTCTGCTTGAGGAAGGGGACGAGAGTGTACCAGATCTGCAGTCCCATATGCGCACCAACAGCAAGTGGGAGCGCGTGAGGCTGTTTCCGGCAATGGTTTGGTGCCAGAAAGGACTAAGGAGTGGTTCTGACTCCACTCACCAAGCCCAGCCAGTGGGCCAAATTTATAGCATACTCCATACCTTATTCTTTTGGGTAAATAAGAGTAATTGTAAATCTTTGGGGCATCTTTTGGATTTTGTGGATAGCTTGAAGCTTTAGTTGTAGCCTTTAGCATCTTGTGTATTCTTTGGGAGCGGTGCCTTCTTGAGCGCCTTTTTTAATGAAATCTTACTTGTATAAAAAAAATATTCAAATTATATACTGTCACAAGTTAACATGTTTATGACAAACAATAGAGTGCTACCTGCTAACTATTGCAAATCAACTCATGTCATACAAATTCTTTAAGCCCTCAAAAATCATACCAGATAAAATAATTAGTAAGAAATAAAAAATATGTTTATTTTTAACCATATTCAAGCAGTAAACCTTCACCAAGGGCCTTGTAGCCTGATGGTACTTCCTCACCTTTCAAAGTAAAATGTCGAGGGTTCAAGTCCCCATAGGGGAAAAAGTGGGTGTGTGGGTGTATTTCTTGCCAATGAAAAAAAAAAAAAAAAATGCAGCAAAACTTCCAAAAGCACTTAAATTGAAGGAATATTAATCATATAGCCAGTGAAAATCAGCCGAGTCATGCATGCAAGTGACTGTAATACATGATAATAGCATTTAGCAGAATGCAACTTAAAGGAATTTAAATTGTTGAGGACAGAAAGATTCCTCACTCGAGTATATCAAGTGCAAATGTCCGTTGAATGAAATTGACACGTAACCAAATTGCCTGTAGGATGCAAGCAAATACAAAATTCATTGTTAAGAAAATATGTCAAATAAAAGATCAATTTCTGGCAATATGATGACATTTGTATTGATCACTGCATTAAGAACTGGAATCGATGACAAAACTGAAACAGGTCCCACATGCAACTGAGATAATAGAATCTAGGTAACAGTCTACAAATTTGAATTAGCACATACAGATCCACCTGCAGCTAGAGCTGTCAGGTCTTCAAGCAACCTAAGCCCAAGCTTTCCAGTTTTACTTAGAGTTTCCCTCATCAATGATTTCCCTCCAGAAGCAAATTCATGCTCCAATGACCTGTTGAATCTGAGTCAGTCAAAAAAAATGGTAGGGAGTTCAAATATTACAATTTTATGCCATGAAAGTGAGAATTATCCTTATATGGAAAACCAAAACACCCAACCTTAGATGATTTAAACCAAAAAAAATAATAATAGATAGACACAAAAGGGCACTAGAAATTTAAATAGATAAATAATTGAAGGTATACACACACATATAACACACACATTCCATACGATGGTTAAAAGGAAGAAAAAAATAAGAAACTTTCCAACATATACATATGCATACACACGAAACTTAGCAATTTTACAATCATCTGATCAAAACTTGAAGAGAAGACTGACTTTGACTTAACAAGAGATCACATACTCTGAAAGATTAATACTTCGATTAACGTCACTAGTAACTGAACTAGTTCGAGAAATGTATCCTCCTGAACCAAACTTGCCCACCGGAAGTGATTCAGCACTAACCACGTGATCAAAAATCAATGCTACTGCTTGCCTGAAGGTTGCTGCAGCAGTGCTGAAATAGATTGACATGGAATGAGAAGTTGAATAGTTCAAAAGAGGTTAAAAGTGGTAAGAAATGCAAATACAAAGGGAGAGAAATTAATAAAATAGAAGGGTGATGGAACTCCTCCAGACATCTAAGAATGTTTTCTAATGATTTAACTTACTTTCTCACGCTGTCAGAGGATTTGCTGTTTTCAAGAAGCCGGAGACAAATACCAAGAGCCTGAGCCATGTTCTCCTGAAATTTATAAAACAGTCAAGACAGAAAAGTCAACAACTTCCCCCTTCCCCTTCCCACCAGAAGAGGAAAATATAGAAGATTTACCAAAGGCTTCATTGCCTAGTGGTATCTCCTCTACCTTCCAAAGTGAATGGTGAGGGTTCAAGTCCCCATAGGGGCAAATGAGTGTGAGTTTCTTGCCAAGGAAAAAATAGATATACAATAGAAGATTTCAGTCTGAGAAACCAGACCAATGAGAAATTCCAAAAATATAGCTCATGCATTTTAAACCAACATGAATGCTGCATGTCTTTCATTTTCACGATAGATAATATGGACATTTTTATTCAGGAAAAAAATAATATGGACATTTTCTTTTTTTAGTAGACAATGTTGAAAATAGAATTATTAGCCCCAATAATCTTTCTTCAAGGCCTGGTAACCTGTCAAAAGTACACTTGAATCCTGTATAACTCCAAATTAAAAAAACAGAGATGAATGCCCATAAACACTGATTTACAATATCAAACTTCTTTGTTGACAACTATCCAAACCCTACAGCATCCAAGTATTGTCACATCAAACCACTTTTATCCAATCCAATACTTACAAATCATGAGTCATTATATGCATAAAAGAACAAGTATATGTAATTAAAATTTTGAGAAACACAAATTTTTGTGGCTTGTAAGATTAAAATTTTGAGAAGAAAAAATGCTATGATCAATAACCACCTCATTTTCAGGTTGTAAATGCGACTGAAATATTATCAGTATCGTCTGTAGGGTCTTAAGTTGTACGGTGTCATCTGCCATTTCAGCATGCTGGAAAGAGAAAGAAGAAACAATTAGATTCCAAGTACAAAATTAAATTTCTTATCGCAAATAAAACGGCAAGAAGAATCATTTTTAATAATTATGCAAAAATCACTGCAGAGATTTAAATAATAATTAGAGAAAGAGGGGGAGGGGGGGGGGGGGGGGGGGGGGGGGGGGGAATACCAACAGAAAACTGCAAATGATAATAGCTACGTCACAAGTAATCAATTATCCTTTATTAGCAAGCTATTTAATGGGGAAATCAGCTTGGTAGCTATTTAATGAGTAATACTCATTCGCAAATGCAATATAAAAATTTCTAGCTGCCTATGCAAGAAGAAAATTTACTCACTCATGTACTGTCAGTTGTACATGTATCCTCTGATGAACAATTCTCCTCTCATCATTATACAAATCCAGCACTTTAACCAAAAAGAGAAAGTGAAAAAAAAATATTTAGATTATAGCTACTAGCTTGCTACCAACTAAAATTTAGGAGAAAAACACTAAGGTGCTGTTTTATAAAACAGAAAATTAAGTACTGAATTTTAAGTGCTGAAGTTTTTAAGTGGTAATTAAAAAATAAATATTTTTATATCTTTTTAAATTTTCAACGTTCAACATTCAGTGATAAGTGATGTCCTGTCACTTAAAATTTTACCCCATTTTAAGTGGTGCTTACCGTTTTTAGTAACATTCAAATTGTGTTTTCAAATGCACTTAATTGAATAAGCACTTAATTCTGATTAAGCACGGAATTGAGTTATCAAACAGCATCTAAGTTTTGCCTCTTCTTCAAGGGAAAAAAAAAATACTTTTTACTCAAGTACTTTGCAAAGAAAAAAAAAAAAAAAAAGTTTAAAATGTTTGCCTTCATCCAGAGATTGTAAATGAAGTGCTGCATATCACCTTAGCTGAAATGCCACAAGTAAAATTATAAGCTTAAATGTCCAGATGAAGCCAATTAGTAAAGACAGAACTTGGAAAATATCTTTCTGGGCACTAAGAGGGTGTCAATTATCCTCGTACAATACGTGAACGCCACTGCTAAAGCAAAGGAAGCAATTTTAAAGAAGAAGAACCCTTCTTCTTGAAAAAGGGAGAGGGAGGTGAGAAATCGCATCTCTTATGTCAATTATGAGGGGAAGGATGGGTCAGTGAGGGAGAGGGGAAGTGAGGGGTGGAGAGAGGAGCAAGGAGGAGGTGAATGACATTGTTTCCTTATGAAGCACTGAATCATTTCTTGCAATGTCCGCGGTCTCAATGATCTAGATAAGAGGAAGGTGGTGAAGTTGACGGTGAGGAAGTGGGGGGCTCATGTCTTCTGCTTACAAAAGAATTGAAGGTTTCTTCGATGACAGATAGGTTGGTTAGGAGCCATTGGGGAGGGAGGTTTGTTGAGTGGGAGGCGATGGATGCTACGGGGTCTTCCGGAGGCATCCTCATCATGTGGACGGGAGATGGCAGTCAGGGGTGCCGGGTGGACATTTGGAGAGGTAGGTTCTCTATTTCATGTGCCATTGTATTGGTGGAGGATGGTTTTAGATGGGCCTTCTCCAGGGTTTATGGGCCGGTGGATGATGCAGAGAGACATTTGTTGTTGGGGTTCAGTCTAGTGAAGGGGATGTGATCTCTCCCATGGTGTGTGGGTGGGGATTTCAATGTGGTTAGGTCCCCGACAGAGAGATCTACAGGGGGGAGAGGTCTTTGGCTATGACGCAATTCTCGGAGCTCAATGAGGCCATCATCTTATTGACTTACAGTCGGAGGGTGTGGCCTTTACTTGGTCTAGCAGTAGGGAATCCCCCACTCTCTCCCAGCTGGACAGATCCTTGATTTTTGGGGAATGGGAGGAGAAATTACGGATGTTGTTCAGGCGGCTTTGGTTAGGGTGAACTCTGATCATATTCTGGATTGTGGTGGTTTGTAATCTCGAAGCACCCTGTTCAGATTTGAGAAAATGTTGCTTAGAGCAGAGGAATTTCGGGGGAGAGTTCGGTCTTGGAGGGAGGAGGCTAGGCGATAGGTACCTCGAGTTTTGTTTTGGCTGGGAAGCTTCAACTCCTGAAGGCTGAGCTTAAAAATATAAGGAGGTGTTTGGAAACTTGAAGTGGAGGAAGAATAGGGCCCTTACTGAAATTGCTGAGTTTGATTGGTTGGAAGGGATGGGTGGTATTGTTGAGGGTCGGAGAATTCAGAGAGCAGATTGCCATGCGGAGAAGGCGGAGATTGCTATTTTGGAGGAGATATCGTGGCGACAGAAATCTCGGGAATTATGGCTTAAAGAGGGATACCGTAATACGAGATTCTTCCATAGGCTTGCAAATGCCCACAAGAGGGGTAATCATATCGGGCAGATCCGCGTGTTGTGTAGGGAGGAGGAGGTGTGCAGGGGAATTGCATCCTACTATCAGAGGCTCTACTCAAGTCTCTAAGACTAACAGTTGGAGACCCCGGCTTGGTGGTCTTTACTTTGATTCAGTTTCAGCAATCGAAAGGGATAGGCTTGAGATTCCTTTTCCAAGTAGGAAGTGTTGAAGGTGCTGAAGAGTCGTAATGGTGATAAAGCTCCAGGGCCGGATGGCTTTACTATGAGGTTTCATTGGAGAGCTGGGATGTGATTAGGAGTGAGGTGATGGGCACCTTTTATGATTTCCATTCTCGTGGGCGGTTCGAGAAGTCGTTGAATAAATCTTTCATTGCCCTCATTCTTAAGAAGGGTGGAGCTTCCAATGTTAAGGACTTTAGACCTATAAGTCTAGTGCGGTGCATTTATAGCTTATTGCTAAAGTCCTTGCTGTGAAATTGAGGGAGATTTTGGATGGAGTCATTTCAGAGTCCCAGAATGCTTTTATTGGTGGCCAGCACATTTCAGATTCTGCTCTTGTTGCCAACGAGTGTGAGGATTCTAGGATGCGTGGTGGTATCCCTAGAGTTCTGTGTAAGCTTGATATCGAGAAAGCTTATGATGATGTTAGTTGGAGCTTCCTTTTGTAATTTGTATCGGTTGGAAAGAGATGGATTGAGGCCTTCCATTTTTTTAATTTTTGATAAGTAAGGTTTTATAAAAGGCGCTCAAAAGGGGAAGTGTTCCCAAAGAAGACAACAGTCGACCAAAATCGACTCTATAGCTTTAAGCTATCCACAAAACCTAAAAGACTATCCATTGAATTACAATCCCGCCCATATACCCAAAAAAATAAAGAAGTAAGAATTGTATTTAATAGCCCAAATGGGAGCCAGCTATGGGTCCTTGAAGTAGATGCTTTCTTCGTGAGGCAGGTGAAGACCTTTACTGAACCGATTGAGAAGTTTACTCTAAACAAGTGAAGACTGAGGACTCGATCATCTCAGTCGAGTCGATCCGTTCAACTAGCGGCTAAGCTGTTCCAGATCGTCAGCCAAAACAGTTATGAGGGGTACCTGAAAAGCTCTTGAACTTGCTTTTGGGACATCCGCTGCATGTTCCTTAGCTTGTTGCTGTCCTATTTCTTTTGCGCCATAGACCCCACCAAATACAAAGGGGAGTGGCCCTCCAAGCATCTCTGACTCAGTTCTCCACTGTACACCCTTTCCAAGTCTCTAACGAGTCAACCGTGGATTCTGGGAACACCCATGTAAGACCAAACACAACCAAAAACAAAGCCCAAACATCCCTAACCACTAAGCAATGAATAAGGAGATGGTTGACAGATTCCCCCATCTTCTTGCACATGTAACACCTGTTAACCACAATATGAATTCTTTTTCTAAGGTTATCAATAGTAAAAATGCTTCCGAAAGTGATAGTCCACGAGAAGAATGCCACCTTCAATGGAGCTTTCATCCTCCAAATGGCTTTCCAAGGAAACATTTGTAGAAGGACTCGACCTCGAACACTCCTCTCGGGTTACCCACCCACAGCATCTCGTCCATGCCCACCCCAACCACCACCTATCTATAAATGAATGCTAGGAAGTCTGTAACTTCCAAAAGTTCCCAATCATGAAACTGTCTACGGAATTGCACATCCCAAGTCACCATCCCATTATCAAGACGATAATAGTCAGCGACCACCGCATCTCTAGCCACAGCAATCCGGTAAATACAAGGGAATTTACTAGCTAAATCCGAATCCCCACACCATCTATCTTCCCAAAACCTGACATTACTCCCGCTTCTAATTTTGAACCGGATACATTTGGAGAATTCATCCCAACCTCTACGGATAAGTTTCCAAGAGCCCATACCTGCTGGGATTCTAGCCTCCCTAGACCTGATGAGGAGGGTAGTGGATCTGGGCTTTATCAGGGCTTCAAGGTGGGTAGAGTAAGGTTCATCAGATAGAGGTTAGGAGAAGTATTACCTTTCGAAGGGTGCGAAGCTTACTCTCATGAAGAGTACATTGTCGAGTCTCCCTACATACTTTCTTTCTCTCTTTCAAATTCCTTCCTCTGTAGCTGGAAGGATTAAAAGACTTCAACGGAACTTCCTTTAGGGCGGTCGGGGGGAGGAGTTCAAGTTTCATCTTGTCCGTTGGGGGCACACTTTTATTCAGTTAGGTGGTCTGGACATTAGGACGCTGGTCCCTTTCAACAGGGCTCTCCTTGGTAAGTAGTCATGGAGATTCGGAAGTGAACGACACCGTCTTTGGAGGAGGGTTATTTCGTGCCGTTTTGGAGAGGAGAGAGGTGGTTGGTCCTCTTGTCCGGTCAGTTTAGCTGGAGGCTTGGGGGTTTGGAAATTCATTAGGATGAATTTCCTAAATACATCACATTCATAGCTCAAAATGGCAGGGACATTAGTTCTAGGAGGGTATATGGTGTGACAATCACCCGTAGGATTGCCATTGATAGACATGCCTTGGTTGCCGACTATTATCGGCTTGATAGCGGTGGGTTCAGGTGGGAGATTGGGAGTTGAAAGATGTTTATGGAGTGCTAGATCTTTTGTATAGACGGGAGATGGATGGTAAAGGCACTGACTCCTTTATTTGGGTGCCCTTTCCTCGGTGGAGGTTTCAAATCCGTCCCTCGTTCTATTGTCTTTCCAAATTCTATGGTTCTGATTTCCCTTAAAAGACGGTTTGGCACTCGAAGGCTTCTCTCAAAGTGGCCTTCTTTGTATGGACTGCATAGAAGACATGTTAGTGTCAATTGGTGTTGTTTGTGCAAGAGGGATGTAGAGTTTTTGGATCACCTCCTTTTGCATTGCCTCGTGGCTCACAACTATTGGAGCCTTATTTTTGGTTTGTTCGACATCCAATGGGTTATGCTTCGGACTTCGACGGATTTGATTGACGCTTGGAGAGGTTGCTCAATGGGGGCTATGCCTGTGATTTTTGGAGGGCAATTCCCTTTTGTGTTTGGTGGTGCATTTGGAAAAAGCGGAATAGAAGATCTTTCGACGGGGAGGAATCTTCCATTGGGGCTTTGAAATTTCTTATCATTAGTTCTCTTTTTAGTTGGGTGATGGGGAGAAATTGTAAATCTATAGAAGAGATTATTGATTTATTGGGTTCCTTGAGTCCTTAGGACCTTTTCTCTGGCTTTGGCCCTTGTATGCTCTTCGGAATGTGTTACCCTTTTGAACACTTCCTAATATATTCTTACTTATCAAAACAAAACAAAAAAAAAAAAACAGTTTTATCATAATTATACAATAAATTTGAATTATTGGATATGTTTGTTAGGTGGGCATGGAAGGGATATAACACAGCGGTAGAGTATCACCTTGACATGGTGGAAGTCATCATTTTGAGCCTGATTATCCCTATACCCAATGTGAGTTTTTCTAATTTGACTTGCTCCCCCGCCTGTCTTAATCCCGAATAATAAATAAATAAATAAAAGAGAGAGAAATAGAGAGAGAGAGAGAGAGAGAGAATTGCGATAGGTAGCTTGACAACAAATGTAAAACTTTTGTCAGGACCTATATGAACATTAATCCTAAGAATATACCACTAGGCTGCGTGTTTCCCATAAGCAACGCATTGCATCAGCTTGTGGATGCTCAAAAAATGGGTATGGGGCGCTACATTGACGCCCAGATGTGGTTAAAAAAAGGTAAGGGTTCCCGCGTTTTGCTGGACAAGAACAGGTAAAGAACTTAGAACAGGACGGTAGGCTTAGGATAGAAACTTGGAATATAGGAACAATGACAGGTAAAGAAATGGAGTTGGTAGACACTATGTTAGAAGGAAGGTTAATATAGTATGTCTACAAGAAACTAAGTGGATAGAAGAAAAAACTATAAATTGAAAACAAGGAATATAAACTTTAGTACATGGAAAAGATAAGACAGAAATGGAGAGGATGGGCTGCGGCGAGAAGTGGAGGTCCTGGAGGAGGTGGAATTTCTTTTGCATCTCAATGGGAAATTTTTAATTATGGTGAATGGAGAAGCCTTCTTTGGAAGCTCTAGAGAGTTGAGACAGGGTGACCCTTTGTCCTCATTCCTTTTATTATGGTGGAGGCTTATAGTAGAATGATGAGTAGCACAAAAGCTCTTGGCTACATTAGGGTTTCAGGGTGGAAAGGAAGTCAGCTGAAGGTAACACGTCTTTTTGTAAATGTCATTGTGTTCAGTGATGCGCTAGAAGATCAACTGAGCTACTTGAGATGTGTATTATTGTGCTTCCAAGCAGTGTCAGAACTGAAGATAAAAATTAAAAAAGAGAGATTGTTCCAGTGGGGAACATAGATAACACATTCATTATGGCCAACATCTTGCGTTGTGGTGTTGGGGCCTTCCGGTGTCATATTTGGGTTTACCTTTGGAAGCTTCATCGAGTGTGTTACTAGGAAAGAGGTGAAGAGGTTCAAGAAAAGGCTAGCCACGTGGAAGAAGCAATATCTTTTGAAGGAAATTTGTCTTACTCTAATCAAGAGTACCATCTCGAACTTTCTGTTCCAGATTCCCTCCTCCGTAGTAAAGAGGATTGAAAGACACTTTTATGGGGGGAATGGGAAATGCATTTAAATTCCACTTGCGAAATTGGGAGAAGGTTTGTAGACCTCTTCAGATGAAGATTGGGTGTAAAGAAAATTTAACTTATTTAATAAAACCTTAACGAGGAAATGGCTTTGGAGATATGGAGTGTAGAGAGACCTATTATGAAGGAGAATTATAGAGAGAAAAGTTTGAGAGGAAAGGGGCAGGTGGTGCTCCAAGTAAGTGAATACCCCAACTGGAGTGTGCTTGTGGAGAAGATATTCATAGACTGGAATGAATTTTCTAAACATGTTCGGTTCAAGATGAGAAGTGGGAGACACATCCGATTTTGGATGGATGTCTAGTGTGGAGATAGGCCTCTTGCATGCTTATTTCCGTGACTGTTTAGAATTGCAGCAGACAAGCAAATCATAGTTTCGGAATCCCAAAATGCATTTGTTGGAGGGCGGCAGATTTGGACTCTTTTCTTATTGCTAGTGAGTGTGTGAATTCCAATCTGTGCAGTTGTATGCCGGGGGTTGTCAGCAAACTGGACAATGAGAAAGCGTATGATTATATCAGTTGGAGCTTCTCGCATTAAATTTTGGAGAGGATAGGTTTTGGAGATGGTTGGAGATGGATCCAATGCTGTATTTCTTTGGTGAGATTCTCAGTTCTGGTGGATAGGTCCCCAACGGTTTCTTCGACACCTCGAGATCCCTCATCTCCCTTTCCGTTCATTATGGTGTGGAGTTGTGGAGTAGGGCTTTGTTGGAGGATTCAGAGTGGGCAGGGACTCCTTTCGTTGTTGGAGATTTCTCACCTTCTGTTCAAGGATGACAGTCATGACACCATGGTGTACTGTGCTACAAATAAGGCTTAGTTGAGACATTTGAGATATGTTTTGGTGTGATTTCAGGCTGTCTCTGGCTTGAAAATTTTTTTTTTTTTGGGATAAGTAAAGAAGTATTAGAAAGTGTTCAAAAGGGAAACGCATCCCAAAATCTATCTCTGGCTTTAAACTGAAAGGTAACCTTAAGAAGAGTGAGACTGTGTCAGTGGGGAAGATTGGTGAGAATTGAGATAGCCTCATTGGCGGATATTTTGGGGGTAGTGTAGGGTCCTTTCCAGTTTCCTACTTGGGAATTCCATTGTGGGTGACTTCGAGAAGAGCTTCCTCTTGCAATCTGGTCGTGGAGCGATTTGACAAGAGATTGGCCAGTTGGACGAACCAATATCTTTCAAATGAAGGAGGATAACTCTCTTGAAGAGCAAGCTTTCGAGTCTTCCGACTTACTTTATGTCTCTATTTCATATGCCTTCTTCAGTGGTGAGGTAGATTGAGAGGCTGGAACGAAAATTCTTATAAGGAGGCATGGGAGAGGATCTTAAGTTCCATCTTGCAAAGTGGGAGCAAGTTTGTATGCCTATTCAGCTTTGGGCACTTGGGCGTTAGGAAGTTGTATGTAATCAATTGTGATAATTAATAAGTCCATGATACTGGAGTTTGTCCAAGTTTCAGATATGATTATCAAAGTGTTTGCTCATCAAATTTGAGCTTCACACGATGTTATGGAGAGGAATCTTTTCATGATTCATAAATCATGTATATGCATAATATTATGTGTGTGTGTGTGTAGATAAATAAATGAAGATTGGAAAGGATGTATAAAAATATCTAGAATCACAGTTTATAAAAGTATAGTACAAAAACAGATAAAAAGATAGTAAAACAAGAAAAGATAATTCAAAAGAAAACAGAATCAAGAACTCAAACTTTTGTGATTAAATTATGGACAGTTAAGTCCATAATGCGGAAAACATGGACACAACAAGTGAAGTATCAACCACCGTTCCACAAATATATTACCAAATGTCTAGTGCTACCACCCAAGTAGCATAAGTGCTTGAACAACTTCTGAGTAAAAGAAACATTAGTAAAAAGGTGTAGTTTTGGGAGAGAACGGCCAAGAGAGATGTTTCTATGTGAGATAAGGTTCTTTAATGACTTCTATTCTTGGTTTACCACAAGACATGGCAACTTAACAACTTCTTTTCTTCCTTAGGTGATTCCATCAGTTGCATTTGAATTACGAAATTTGATGATAGGTTTTTCGCGTTCAAGGTAGGAGTTCTCTTTTTTTCATGTCATGTTGTTTATCATGTCTTATCTTGTTTTAAATTTTCAAATGATTATTTATTATATTGAATTATTTAAAAGTGTTTTATGGTAAATAATTTACTTCCTATTCTATTTAGAATATGACAAATAAATTTTTGGGCTATGTCATTGTGATGGAGAAGTGATATTTTTTCAAAAAAAAAAAAAAGACATGCTGAATTCAGTTGGATTTTAGCGATGGAAGCCTAGTGTGACGGAACATCGAATGAATGGATGCCACCACCTCTACAGGGGTACTGTAGCATCCTTGTGAGACGCGTAGAATTGCAACGATCCAAGGGTTGAAACCCTTAAAATATTTTTGAATTATTAGAGAATTATTGTTTGGTTACTTTATAGATTTGGTTTTCTTTTCATCACATTCCAAATGCTCGGGTCTTATAAACTGGGGTTTGGGCCATGATGCTTACATTTTGATATCCAATATGGCAGTAAGAAATTAACAAACAATATGCATAGTGGAGAAAATTTGTTTGCATAGAATCAACTACACTACAGCTGACACTTCACATGATCGCATATACTTGTTACAGATTAAAAAAAAGAGAGAGAGCATACACACATGAACACCATACCAAGTATCCATACAGTATATACAAATTCTTTAGTCCTACCATGTCAGAGCATATAATAATCCATTTTCAAGTAGGAATGACCACATTGCACAACATTGCACACGGACGTTAAACTTACATCTTTGAGGGTAGCAAGTATCTCCTTCAAAGCTGAAGGAGCTACCGCATTATGGGATATGAGCTTTTGCAGGCAGGAAAGTCCAATAACACTCAGTTTGACAGTTTTGACCTCACAAGCCATCAGAAATATCCGTAGAATATCCTCGTTATGCGCAATTTCACCAGGGCTCGACAATGAACGAAGCTGCAAGTTAACATCAGAGAGCTCATCAATTCCGGAAAAAAAATGCCAACAATAAATTGTTTTACAGCCACAATTCGACTTCCAAACGAACCAACTGTAAGTTGTCAGATCACTACCAAAACCAAACATGACTTAAAAAGAAGCAGCAATTTCAACACCATTTGGTTGTAAACAGGGGAGGAGACAGAGGGGGGCCAGCAGGGGCCATGGCCAGTGTTGTTAAAGGCGCGCCTAGGCTCGAGGCTCAAGTTTAGCGCCTGTTGTCATCGCAGGCTCACTGATGTTTACTAGGCGCGCACCTCGGTTGCGCCTCGTCCTGTTTGTGAGGTGCGCCTAGGCGCGCCTCACTGATATTTGTTTAAAAAAATACGATTGTTCTATTTCTTAAGCCAAAAAGGGTACTTTTGGCAACTTAATAAAAAAAAAAAAAAAAAAAAAGGCTCAATCATACGATATAAGGAACCTAGGCGCGCCTCACTGATATTTGTTTAAAAAAATACGATTGTTCTATTTCTTAAGCCAAAAAGGGTACTTTTGGCAACTTAAAAAAAAAAAAAAAAAAAACTCAATCATACGATATAAGGAACTTTTGTTCAAAAGAACCAAAAAAAAAAAAAAAAGCCCAAGAGTCAAAGTGTTAACCGAACAACGATAGAATGAGATTGTGAGACGAAGACAAAGCCCTATTTGCAAAGATGAATGACGAAGCCACGTCATTTCTTTCTTTTCTTTTCTTCCTCTTCTTCTTCTTTTTTTTTCTTTTTTTTTTTTCTCTCTTCTCCTCTAGATCTCTCCTCTCTTCTTATCTTTGTTTACATCTCTCTTCGTCTATTTCTCTCATCTCTCTGTCTTCTTTTTTTTTAACTCTGTTTTTTCTTCTTTTTTTTCTTGTTAACAAATTTTTTTTTTTTTTTGGTTAACATATTTATTTCTTTTTGTGCTTCGTTTTGTCATTCAAAAAACACATTTTGCTTTGCCTTTCAAGAAAACAAATTTGTACTCTGTTTTATGGTTGTTGGATGCTTGTATAGTTGATGGATTTACTTTTTTATATTTGATATTAATTTTTAGAATATTGATATGACTTATGAGATATGAATGTTATTATGGTAGTTTAAATTTTCAATTGTATGCCTCACTTCACTCAGACGCGCGCCTCGCCGTGCGCCTCGCGCCTAGGCTCCAAAGGACCTCTAGCGCCTTAGGCCTTTAATAACTATGGCCATGGCACCCCCAAAAGTTTTCAAAATTTTGTTTATACCCCACATAAATTATTTTTTTATATAAATACCTCTACTTATGGCCCCAAAACTCATAAAAATATTCATTGGCCAACCCAAATTTTTCCAAAGCACTTATTTATTTGCCCCAATAATAATGAATTTACAAATATAAAAAAATTTGTGTAATCTCAAAACTCATACAAAATTTAATTTGAGCTCAAATCTTGTCCAACAAAAAAATAAATTCATTGTTTTTAGTTTTTACTACTATATCATCGTTTCATTTACATTTACACTTACATATACACAACTATAAAATTCATTATATGAATTCAAGAATGTATCCTCATATTATTTAAAAAAATACATGAACCTTCCTCATTAGCCGTTTTCATGCGAAGTAGTAAAAATTAAAATATTGTCATACCAAGATCACAAGAATGCCAATAAAAATAATATCATTATATATGCTAATATTTTTAGTTGTCACTTGTTTGATGACATATTTTATAACTATTTCTTGTATAAGTTATTAAAACACATCTATATTTTGTTCCTGCTAGCTAATTTTGTTTTGTTTGGTTAAAATATTATATTTTCTCTTAGCACTTCTCTATTTAGTTCTTGCTAATTGTGTTTTGTTTATTTAAAATATTATATATTTTTCTTAGCATTTCTTTAATTTGTTCATGCTAAGTGTGTTTTGTTTAGTTAAAATGTTATATTTTTCTCTTAATATTTCATTAAGTTAACAATGACATGTTTTCAAAAAGTGAAATCAAAGGATTCATTTTTTTTTACACAAATTAAAACAATTGTTGAATTAAATTTTAAACTTGAACAATGTTTTTTCTTCACAACTTCTTCTTTTATATATTCCTGGCCCTAACTCTGCAATAATGGGAATCTTTCTTAGTTCAGCCCCCAAATTAAAATTCCTGGCCCCCTGGTTGCAAAGAAAATGCAGTAAAATAAAGCAAACTATTATTAAATTATACTAGATGTCCCGTTAGTGAGGAACCCAGAACAAATTGAACCCAACTGAGCCTAATTCAATCACTTGATAGAGTTGAACTGTTTTCCAAAGGCAGAACAATACAAGAAATTAAATATTTCTACTCCAATTTAAAGGTTTCCCGTTATTTTTTCTCTTCTTTCGCTAAATTTCTCAATCACCAAACAGAGCATCAAAACGACAATTTTTAACTGACTTTAGAATCTCCTGATCGCCCAAAAATTAGAATATCGCACAATCACAATATATGAACGAAACGTCAGTTGCAAAAACCACACGCTCAATACATTCAAATACAAGAAATAAAATAATTATAATTTTAACTACTATATTACAATGAAAGATCCAACCTTCAATATTGCGTGCTCGGCACCGTCCTTCACGGCAGGGTACCTCCGGCGAGCTTCCGCGGAGAGAGCGCGTAGATCTGACTCCAAAACTGCCATGAAAGCCATCTCTCCCTCCCCTCTATATATATACGTGTGTATATATATATAAGATGGAATTACAGGATTTGAATTTATGAATGAAATGTGAAGCGGATAGACATTTTCTTCAGATCGGAAGAATTGTGTAACGTTGAGTGTGTAGATCTCTTCTATGTGAGAAACAGTGACAGAAGATTGTCGTTCGTCGACTGTTTTGTAAAATGGAGAAGTGGATCCACAAAGTACTTTGTTTGGGCCGGGTTATCATGCACAATGGTGGGCTGGACAAGGCCGTTATGGGCTGAAACTTTATGGCATTGTGTAACTTGCGATTTTTTCTTTTTTCTTTTTTTGTCTTCTTTTTTTCCCGGTTAGATAAAATACTCACACATCTTAAAAGCCATGTTACGCTTCTAAAATACCTTTTGAGTGACCTAATGTTAGAATTTGTAGGATCCTACTAATGCTACGTTTAGTGTGTAGAAATGGAATGAAATGGAATGTTCATTTCAGCTATTCATTTGTTTGGTGTGTAGGAATAGAATGGAATGGTCATTCCATTGAAATGAAAATCCATTCCACAACTAAACCTACGGAATGGCCATTCCATTCCCAAGTAATTATTTTTAAAAAATTGACTTCTCAAAAAACCATCATACTTCAAGTTCAAAAACCACCAACCATCTCCTTTCACTACCACCGCCTTCCACCACCACAACCACTATCGCCACTACCACCGCTACCTTTACCACCTTTCACCACCATCACCACCACCTTCCACCACCATAGCCACAGCCTTACACCACTGCCGCCTCCTTCCGCCACCACCATTGCTGCCACCGCCTTCCACCACCACCGCCGCCGCCGCCGCCTTCCACCACCGCCATCGCAGTCTACCACCTTCCATCACCGCCACCGCCACCTTCCACCTCCGCCACCACCTTCCACCACCATCGCTGTCGCAGCCACTGCCACCGCCACCACCTCCCACCACCACTGTCGTCGTAGCCACCGCTACCACCACCGCCACCACCACCACCACCATCGTCACCACCTTCCACCACCGCCGCCGCCGCCTCCATTGCCTTTCACCGCCACCATAGTCACACCACTATCTCCTTCCACCACAACCACCACACTACTGCCACCGTCTTCCACAAACACCACTGCCACCTTCCACCACCACCACTGCCACCTTCCACCATTGCCACCACCGCCACCTTCCAACACCACCACCTACACCACTACCATTTTCCACCATCCACCACCACCATTTATTTTTAAAAAATTATTAGAGAATATCATTTGTTAATTTAATTTATTTGTTACTAAGATGGATATTTTGGAGAATTCAATTAGAAATTTATTCCATTCTAAATTTTAAATTGGTCCAACCAAACACTAGAATGGTTATTATCATTTTATTCCTACACATTTCATATTTATAACCAAACAATAAAATGAGAATGACCATTCCATTCCACTAACATTCTCATTCCATTCCCACTAGCATTCCATTCCATTCCTACACACCAAATGTAGCATAATATGATTACCTAATTTCGTAAAATAAAACTAGGCATAAAAGTAGGCTTAGTTTGTTTTAATGTAAAATTTTTTTTTTCCAGGTAAAATATTATTTAATTTTACTTTGTCAGTGTTTGGTAAAGATTTACATCGAGATTGTGGTTGAGTCCATCGGACAGGGCATGTAAAATAACTTGTTAAAATTTATAGATAAAATATTTTTGTTAAATTTTAATATTTTTTTTCTTTGTAAATATTTTACGACGACCAAGCACCTGAAAATAAAAAAATATTTTGTAAAAAATATTATATATCTAAACAAATAGAGCATTAATATAATTTAGGACCTGTTTGCCTGGGCTTTCTGTAACCTCCAAATGGGCTTCCAAGTCCAGTATACCAATAATAATGAGTGTTTGGTTAAATTTTTAAAGCGCGTTTGAGAGAAGCTAATAAAAGCTGCTTTCAGATCAACTTCCGGCGATTGTAACACTTTTTGAAGTAATAAATTCTAAATTCCTATATTGTCCAAATATTTAAACCTATTTTTCTGAATCCATCTTCTCCATTCGTTCTCCTTCCATACGTTGCCCACATCCGTCTTCTCTATTTGTTCTCTCCCCATAAAATCTCTGAATTTCTAGCACCCAGCTCCTCGTCCTCCTGGCTCCTATGCTTCTGAATTTAGAAATCTTTGTTAAAAGGGTAAACTACATGTTACTCCTAATCACGACACGGATTCTCTTCGATGAGGCGAAAGAGAACAGACTTGGAATAAATTCACCAGCGATCCACTGATGCTGACCCAGTCGGCAACGGAGATGAGGCAAAAATTCGAATTGAAGAGAACCATGACCACTGACCACAATTATAATTTATATATCTATATATATATGCATGTCTGTGTGTATTTATAAATATATAGAGAGAGCCAGAGAGTTGGAGAGAGGGAGACTGTGTGTAAGAAAGTGGGCTCCAAACCGTCATTAGGTGGTGATTTTCTAGAGAATCAATGGATGTATTGCACTGCTCTTAAAGATGAAATCCATGATCAACTAATCTTGAGGGTTGTAGATTGAAATATGGATACAAATGGGTCTATCTAGTTCATTGTAATTTATAGGTATCAAGATGAAATTTATAGGTTGTGGATTCTTGTAGAGCAATGAATTTGGAATTAAAAATTCGTAGTAAAAGCTGCCAGAGTTGTTGAGGAAGGAAAAAGATCACAAATTTTCCGTCTAGATAACTTCAAAGAAGGTCACCGGAACAGTGTATTTTAGCACGCCCGGTGAGTAATATGACTTTAACAGTAGACTACTTTTGAACTTAGTAACACCAGTAGATGAAAAATAAACACTCATCTATAATTATATATATATATATATATATATTTATGATATATAGAGAAAAATAATTAATGTGGAAGAAATGCGGGGTTAATGGGTTTAGAAAAATAATTAATGTGGAGGAAATGAAGGGTTAATGGGTTTAAAGGATGAGGGAAGAGTTTCATTTTGTGTTTACTACATTCTTCAACCTTGGTCAACTTGGTCAAACAGTGACATGGAGATGGGTTTGAATGGGGAATAAAGGAGATGGGTTGAATAGAAATGGCACAAAGGAGATGTGGGTAAAATTGTCAGATAAAAATTATTTAATAGCAAAATGACTTTTTAAAAATACACTCCCCAAACATCTTTCTGTTGTAAATTTCTTTTAGCAGAATCCCTTGTAGAAGCAATTATTAATAAAAGGACTTTTGGTGTTAAGAAGCTCCCCTGAACACAACCTTAATATTTATATTCTTAGCGAGTGATTCAGAAATAGATTTAGTCATATGACTCAAGTGTAAAGACAATTATCGTTGAAGAAAGATACATCAAAAGGGCAAAAAGGCCCAAAATCTATTATAAATGACAAAATAGTCATGGATTGTCTACAAAGATCAAAGATATAATAAGATTCTCAAATTAGAGCTTAAAAAGGAATGAAACACGCTTTATTTCCATCTCACATATTAAGCCTAAGTTGTGTTTTATTTTTACAAAATTAGGGAAAATAATTGTCACACATGGCTATATGTTATATATGTTAAGACCAATATTCTAGAGCTACATATACATATATAAATTCCTTAACTGTATATTGAAGGTTTCTTATTTATGCATTGGACAATAATTGCTAAGTTTCAACGTTTTCAAACTTTAGGTATGCGCATCAAGAAAAAGGTTTCCAAACACGCATTTGTGGGGAATCCAGGAATTGTTAAAGGAGGGGCTAATATTAAACAAGAGGAAATTGGGGATCGAAAGATTAAAGAGTTAGCAAATTTTAGAGGAAATAGGGTTACACTTTAGAGAGAGAAAATGAGTGAGCTCTCTGATTTGTACAAGATTAGGAATTTAGGAGTTCTCTGTGCTTTGGCTTAGTGATTGTTTATAGCTTGTTTGGTTTGGGCCTATTTGGTTGGACTTTTGTTTAAAATTTGTAATTTAGATATTGAGCTTGTTTGGATCGGTTAAAATTAGGGGGCTAATACTACTACTAATTCTTTATTTTTTAAAAAATATTAGGCTAAATATACATATACTAAAAATAATAATTAAAAAAAAAAAAAATTTAGGGGGGGGCTCAAGCCCACCCAAGCCCCCCTTGGATCCGCCATCGCATTCGTGCTTATTTTGACAAGTTCTAAGGCACCTTAGACTTATATGTTGAGTATGCATCAACCAAACATTTTTCTAAAGCCTTCATAGAGTATTTTAAAGTGTAAATTGTGGTTAAAATACTTTGTTCGATATAATTATAACATCGATCACAGAAAGCTGAAAATACATCGATCAAAGTTTGTATATGACCGATCGGTCAAAGCTTCACAACTATCCACTGAAGGAAGTTGAGCTGCATCGATCAAAGTTTGCACTATAGGGGGTTTTATGACTAATTTTGAGCCGTATAAGAGGATGATTTCAACAATGGATGTCAATTTTGTCATTTCACATGTCAGTTAATACCTCCAGAGAGTTAAGTGATCACTTTTGTTAATTCCGAGAATTATTTGTTACTGTACGGGGCTTATGTGATATTTTGAGATAGTGGATATGATTTTATTGTTTTAACCTATGTTGTTCTTTTATATTTTTTATTTTTTATTTATCAATGTTAGGGAAGTTCTCACCAACTATTGTTAGATCAATCAATCAATTCATTACTTGGGTGTAGCTTAAAACTGAAGGAAAAAGTTATAAAATGACCTCATAGATATAATGAATGAAGATGATGTTTTAAAAAATAATTTTGACTTCTAATGATCAATAAATTCATAATTATTTCACGAACAAAAAAACAAACAAAAAAAAAAATAACTCTACATTTTTCAAATTGAACAAATAAGAACATTTTGTCAATTTGAAAATTGAAATACCTAAAATACCTTTAAGACCAAATAAAAATAAAAATAAATAAAAAAACATTGATTTCATAAAATATTGATTGTTTTGAGTATTTAGGGGTTTTAATTAAAAATAATTTGGTCAAAATTGACCGTCAATGGGTAATTTGAACATACTTTCAAATCTTATGAATTTATATATTCACATACTAAATAGCAAAGGTTTTATTATTATTATTATTATTATTATTATTATATATTTAGAACCTTAGAGTGACTTAAGGAGG